CCATAAAAAGCGCTGTAAAAGGCCTGATAAATAAAAAAAAAAATTTTAAATAGCACACCTATCAAAGCGCTTTTCAAAAAGCGCTGGGAAAGACCCCCCTATCAAAGCGCTTTTTAAGGAAAAAGCGCTGGGATAGGTCCACCTACGACAGCGCTTTTGGCCAGAAAAAAGCGCTTTCGTAACCTACGCCAGCGCTGGCTACGGCAGCGCTTTTAAGCGCTTTTAAAGGGCAAAAAAAAGCGCTGTGAAAGCCCATTTTCGTAGTAGTGATTACTAAAAAAAGGAGAGTTATGTGTGGAATGACCAAGTTGAGATGGCATTCCACCAGTTGAAAAATACAATAATTTGTACTCCTGTTTTGTCCTTGCCTAAATTCAATAAACCCTTCATTTTGGAAACAGATGCGTCAGGGGTAGGAGTTGGTGCAGTGTTGCACCAAGATGGTCACCCCATTGCTTATTTTTCCAAGAAATTGGTCCCTAGAAACCAAAAGAAATCGGCTTACTTTAGAGAAATGCTTTTCATATCTGAAGCAATAGCCAAATTCAGGCCCTATTTAATGGGTCATATGTTCATTATTCGAACCGATCAAAAGAGTTTGCGAAGTTTCATGGACCAATCACTTAAGACACCGGAACAGCAGCAATGGTTACATAAATTTTTGGGTTATGATTTTGTTATAGAGTATAAACTCGTCAAAAAGAGAATCTTGCAGCTGATGCCTTGTCTTGGTCAGAGCCTCAGTGTCAATTCATTCAACAAGTGCAAAGTTGTGTAGTGTGTCAACAAGCTAAAACCTATAACACATTACCTGCAGGGTTACTACAACACTACCAATACCATTACAAGTATGAGAAGATATGGCTATGGACTTTATCACAAGGCTTCCTTTATCCTATGAGTATACTACGATCTTAGTGGTGATTCATACATTATCAAAGTATACTCATTTCCTTCTTAGTGATATGTTGTATGTATGTGATTGGTGAAGTTGTTATTCTTCTCCCTCAAACTCTTTCACATCTGTTTCCTTGCTTTCCAACTATTTGGTGAAAGTCCTAGAAAAATATTATTCTGATTATCGTCTCTTTTATCTTAACCATGTACTGTTTCAAGACCCTAGGTGCAAATGCTCTCTTTCCCTCCAGCCTGATACTATCTCTCTCTTCCTCTTTAAGTGGACACTTATATTTGATTAACCCTTTAAATTAATAATACAATAATACAATAATATGTGCCGTACAATTAACATTGATTTGGTAAAGTTTTCCACATAGTGTGAAAGAAACTTTAGAGCCATCAAATCAAATCATAACAGAAAAGAAAACAAGATGTAATGCAAGAAGACATTGCGCTTAAATAATGAATGAAACACACAGGCAAGTTCGTATTGGACAACAGTGGTTTTCTTTTCTGTCAAAAACTATAATTCAATAATAAATACCATATCAGGCAAAAATACCCAAAAATAAGGATCAAACAATATCTAGCTAATTTCATCACAGAATATAAACAACCTAGTAAGTTTTTCCTTGTCATCACGAGGAACAAAAGCCAAGGGAATACTCCAACAACAATTCTATGTCTTGTTTTGTATTACTTAATACAATACCCTAATGACAAGCGGTGTCAATTCTTCTGACCCACAACACACACACATACAAGTATATGGAACTTATCAGCTTTGGATACTTTCCAACAAGTCAAGAAAATTTATTGTGTGCTTATTATTACACCATTAGAATATGTTAAAAAGTTAATTAGTATTTTTTTTTTGAAGGATTTATCAAAACTCTATTTAATCAAGAATTAACCATAACAATATTTTATAAGACATTTATTTAACTACGGTTTAACAATAAATTATTTTGCACTATGTGCGGTAGTCTGTCTTACAAACCACAGTCCAAATATATATTTAATAGCACAAATAATTGGTGTTCAAGAGTTTGAGTGTTGTAAATCTAAGGATATATAGCATAAACAAGCCACTTTAATATGGTGTCATAGTTATCTTGTGGTTGAAAGCAACCCCACCAGAAAGACTAACCTCTTAATTTCTAAGCAATATATGTGGTCCTTACAATACATGACAGTCTAAAGTAGTGGCGATTGAGACTGCTATATACTGCTAAGCTATTGAAAGAAAGAAAGAAAGAGTTGAAGATAAGTGGGGAGAGAACGGCATGCATAAATGGAAAAGACATAGACACAAGAAAAATCCATCAAATTTGTGTTAGTGTAGTACTACATTAGATAGCTATAGAGTGCTTTCAAGTGTGGATGTCGACTATTACTACCATTTTCAAACACAAGTTGAATATATCATGTGACGTTTTTCATTACAATTGGTCAATAGACCTTTTTGGAAACATGTCATATATATAGATGCCAGTGGCAAGTACAAGCATACAATTAAGTTCCACTATCTTGCACAATTGCAATAATACATCTAACTATTTTTGTTTTTTTTCTTTTTCTTGGTATATAGAGAGAGACTAAAAATCATAAATATAATCTGTCACTAAAAATCTCTAATTTTTTTTTTTTTGTCTGTCATTAAAAATTTCTGTTGGTATATATAAGTTTAGGGAGAATATTGTATATTTTAAAAATAGAAAAGGGTGTAATTTTCTTTTTAAGACAAAAAGAGATGGATAGAAAAGATGATGCCTAGCTATAAATATCTGTTAAAGTAACAAGATAAGCACGCATGGGAAGAGGGAACCAATAATAACTGCTACTACAACATACATTCTCAAATAGATGTGATGGATAGATGTAGATACATGATACATGGACATCTACTATCTATGTACAATACTATTACTATACACCACAAAGAAAGAGAGAAAGAAAGAGATTGATGGTGCATCTCTTTTTGGTGAAAGTGACGTTCTGAGGAACCCCAGTCAAAGGGAGCATATTGGCTATAGCTAAGCTAAAGCCAGCTACCAATAATATTGCATACTTGGTTGGTTGGATAGAAATAATAATTGTACTCTCTATTCTCTCCTCCACCACTTATCTCCTTTTAGGGTTAGAAGCTAGAAAACACTTTGACACGTGGAGGTTGTTTTTTTTTTCAACAATGGATGTAAAAATTAAGAAGACAGAAAGAATATTAAGAAAATTAGTTTTTTGAGTTGTTGGACAAAAATCCTTAATTTGTTCACCATGACCAATTGGTGTTATCTCTAGAAGTTTTTTAGGTTAGGGATGAAATATTGGACGGTAAATAATTAACACAAATAAATTATACAATATAATTTAGTACTATTAGAACGAATGTTATAATAACGTCTATAATAGAAAAGATGTTGGAAGAAAAGATTTGTAGACTCTTTACTAAAAAGAAATAGATTAAATAAAAAATAGTCAAACAATTAAAAGTAAAAAAATATTTGAGCAAGTATAAAAAAATATATTATGAAAGATACTAAGATTAATGAGATGGATATAAACATGGTTTTTGATTGAAAAATATGCCATGGTTTAATCCATTAAATCAATCACATTTAATAGAATACAGCTTGATTGTTGTTGTTTTTATATCATGTTTTTTTAATATATCTTATGATAAACAAAATCCATTTGAATAATGTGTAACTTTCAATACAACTTAATAACAATCCAGTTTTGTTTGATTATGATATTTAGGAAGGTTGGTTGAAGTTTACGGAAAAATAGAGTATGTGATAACCTCTGATCAAGACTCTTCATATGTAATAGATTTAGGCCATGGAGAAATAGACGTGTCATCTTTAGATGTAGGAATGTATTTCTTAATTTTGTTTTCAACACTATCCCTATTTTTATCTCCCATACATGAGGATGTGACCATCCTTAGGATCTTATTGAATTTTATTAGGAAGTTTAAAAGAGAAAAAAAATTCCACAATCATGTGGTTTGATGTGTGTATGTCAAAGTAATATGTTGGTCTAAGGACTAAAGATTTATACTTGTTAAACTTAGTATGTTATAGAAACGCAGATAGATAAATCTCACTAATAATTCTATGTTATGGAGTCAACTCTGCTAAGAATGGTAGTGATGTTTTCATGGTGGAGAGATGTTTTCTAGTAAGGATTAAAATTTAACACAAATTATTATATGTTCTCAAAATAGGGTTATCCAATAACATTGTCAATCGATTGCCGATGTTTTTTTAGAATGATATTTAGATGGAGGAAACCTTATAATGCTATAGATTCCAAAAATAATTGACAAGAGAGTTCCTTGGTCACTTAAAGGGTTTAGTGTGGATGATCAAAATCACTTTGAGATTCTCCAATGAGAGTTCCTTGGTCACTTAAAGGGTTTAGTGTGGATGATCAAAATCACTTTGAGATTCTCCAATTCGCTGAGGATACCATTTTCATTGGAGAGGATTCTTGGAATAATTTTTGGATGTTTAAAGTCATTCTTAGAGATTTTGAACTTGCTTTCGAGTTGCGCGTTAACTTGAACAAGAGTCGACTTTTTGGTGTTAATCTTGATCTGGGATTTATTTAAGTGGCGTCCTCCTTTCTTAATTGCGAGATTGGGACATCATCATTTGTGTTTCTTGGAATTTCCATTGGTATCAATCCTACAAGATGTGATGTGTGGAGAACGATAGTTTCGAAGCTTAGAAGAAGACTTCGAGGTTGGCATAATAGGCATCTCTCGATTGGTGGGAGGGTGGTGCTTTTGAACTCTATTTTATCTAGTATACCAATCTTTTTATTCTCTTTCTATAAGGCTCCAAAAACCATAATCAAAGAGATCATTTTGATTCAACGTTCTTTTCTTTGGGGTGGTGAAGAAGGGGAGAAGAAGAAGATAAATTGAATTAGTTGGGGATAAAGTTTTCCCTTCAAAGGGAAAGGGTGGGCTTGATGTGAAGCATTGTGGGAAGTTCAATCTAGTGTTCTTTTGCAAGTAGAAGTAACGAATTTTGAATAAAGAGAACTCTTTATGGACTAACTTTCTTTCTTGCAGGTACGGTGACATTCAAATGGCGATGTTTAAAGTGCCTTCTTTTCATTCAAGAAGTAGAGTTTTCCTTTGGTGGAGAGATCTTTGTTCGGTCAGTTGCAATGTTGATCCGGATTTGCCTTCTAATTGGTTCAATTCCTCTATCTCTTGCAAGCTTGGAATGAGAATGTTCTTGGAGTTTTGGTTGGATGTTTGGTTAGGAACAAGCCTGCTTGGAATCCTTTTTCCGAATTTGTTTCTTTTGACGGATGCCCCTCATTCCAAGGTTACGTATATGGGGAGTTAAAATGGAGGTTTTTGGACGTGGCCCGTCGATATTTCTTGTGGGCCGGAGGACGGGGCAGCCGCGATCCAAGTTAGTCATTTGGTGATTCTTTTCAATTCGGTTCAGCCCCTCCTTTCAACCACAGACTCTTTTGTTTGGTGGAGGAATGTCTCCAGATTCTCGGTGAGTCACGCTTATGATGCCATCTTGTTCCGTGAGATTCCGACTCTGCCTTTGGATGAACTTCTTTTTTTAGATTTCTCTCGGTTATGGAAGTTTAAGGTCCCTAGTAGAGTTCACCTTTTTGATTGGAGATTAATTTGGAATGAACATTCTACGAAGTCAAAGTTGTTTAAATGTGGAATTTTAACTGGCTCTCACTTGTTGGTGTGTCCTTTGTGTTTTTGAATTGACGATGATTTGAACCATCTTTTCTTTGATTGCTCAATTTTGGAGCGAATTTCTTTGTTGGATAAATCTTGTAAGTTGCCTTTTGGTGTAGATTTGAGTTGGTTTTTGGATTAATTATTTGTTGGATTATTTAGAAGTGTAGGAATGAAATCCTTTTTAAAGGTACTCTTTTGTCTATCTTCGATGGTATGGGATGGATTAAGCTTATTTCATGGGAGTGGTTCATGAATTTTTTTAAAGTTGATTCTAGTTTATCTTGGTTGGATTGGTGTCTCAATCCGAGACTTTTCTTTAGTTGAGAGTTTGTTGGGTGTTGGTCGGGTTTGTTTCGTGTGGAGGGTTTGTCTTCATCTCTTTTTTATTTTTTGTTATATCTTTGGGTTAAGCACCCCTAATGCTTTTTAATATATTCTCTCCTTGATTATAAAAAAAACATGGTTAGTTGAGTTTACCTAGAGGAAAATTGTTTATTTTTGTTTCGAAAGAGAAAATTCTAAATGATATTTTAGAAGTCTTAAGTATGATTTATTTGTCTTTGGTTGAGGATAGAAAGGCTTGGATCCATGATTCAAATGGATTGTATGTCTTTTTGTGGATAGAGATTTGAAAATACCTAATAACAACTTTGGTATTCTTTCCTTATTGCAAAAATTGTTAAAGGATAAGACACAAACAAACCAAAACCTCCTCCGATTGCAATTTAAAAACAAATTATGTGATGTTTCTTGGACAACTCTTAGTCTAAAAAAATTATCATGTGTTAGCACTCTGTCTTAGAGAAGCTACAGAGAGAAATATATAACCTTAAACAAACTCCAAATCTTCTAGATAAGAGACACATAACTTCATGAGATCATCCAAGGAAGGGGGAGTTGGATGTCGAGCCAAGAGAGCCTCGTAAAAAAAGAAACATGAAACATACATATATAATCATGAATGCAAGACCATATCCATGTCATCAGCCAAATCAATAGTAAATTGCTCAAAATTCCACTTTCATTACGATCTGCCCCTAATAACCTATTTGCATCATGTGACTTACCTTCATTGTAGTCTCCCACACTTTAATTGAGTTGAATTTAAAAGGGGTGGATTTAGTCTCACAGTGATTAGAGAAACGACATGTGTAATGTTTATAAAGCTCGAGGAGCCCCTCACCTTACAAGTCGATTTTGTTAAGAATGAGTTAGGTTAAACTATATTTCTAATTTGATATCAGAACTTATCCTTAATATGTTATTGGTTTTCCTACACCATCCACACTTTAGACTCAATGAAACTTAAGCGTGAGGGTTCTGTTGGAAATTTCATCTTTATTACAGAACAAAACACTCATATTTGTCTAATTGTGATATTTGACTTGACTTCATTGTAAACTCCAACCCCTTCATTGTGTTGGGTTTGAAAGGATTTATTTAGTCCCACAACATTTAAAAATATGATCTCTTGAAGATTTATAAAACTTGTGTAGCCCTCACCTTACATGCTAGTTTCGTATAGTTGAGCTAAGTCAAACTCTAATCGTAATATTAACTCTCTTAAAGAGAATCATTGTCTCCTTTACCGACTCCACTCCCCAAACAAAACATATCTCTTATCCAACTCAAACCAAAAATTTGTATAAAAAAAAAGCATGATAAATGAGAAACATGATCCTACCAATAAAATAACCAACAATGAAGCCTTGAGCAAGATCTATGATATAGGCTTAATATATATTAGTAGCAAACTATAGCTTTTGATTTTATAACTGATTTTCACACTCAATTTTATTGTTTAAATCATTTTTAAATAAATATAATTTACTATGTCATAGATTCTCTTTTATCCAAAACCAAGAGAACCAATAGGCATTCCATACATGTGACTAATTTTGATTAGTGTCTAATAAATTATCTACTATTATACATGGTACAAGCTATGGTCTCACTCATGATGAAAATTGGTTTTTAGTTTTGTGTCAATTCTGAATGCACGCATCTGTGGCCACCACCACCACGTGAAGTGGCACACACAAACTATAACTTTTTCTATCCACTCACTTTCTTTCATTTTATCTTCCCTAAAGAAGCTATAAAACTTTTTGCTCAAAAGCAAACCTTATGAATCATCCTTGTCTATATACATTAAGTCACTCTTGTTTCATTCTTTACCTTCTCTCTTCCTCATTAATTCAACTCTCATAAGGTATTATTACTATTATATTTATATCTCTATGTGCTGTCATTCTCATACTTTACAGTACTTGGCATTCTTGAACAAGCCAATTTATTGTACAATATATACCATCACTCTCATACACACACATACAACATATATATCATAGAGCTAATTGTCTTTCTCACCATATTGATATTTTTTTTTTTTTGCAGGGTTCAGAAAACACACATGAATGAGCTCATGAAAAGGTTGAAATTAATCCATCAATAGCTACTCCTTTTACTTAAATTGGAATTACAACATATATATATTTATCAAATTCCAAAATCTATATAGCTACCTATCATGTACTAGCTAGGGTTATTGTTGTTGTTATTATATATAAATAAAGATATATATTATATATTATTATATAATATATATGCATAATACTGTTTGGTGCAGTACTGTCCATCTCAAACTTCCAGATATGTATTCATCAAATAGTTCCCTCAATGGAAATAACCTAACATTTTCCTCTAATTCACCTTTTTGTTCCTTTGAAAGCAACTCAACTTCATCAAAAGATGATCACAACATTCATTCCTCTTTTCCTCTCACTCCTAGTTTCTCTTTCTTTCAATTTCCATATTCTGATCCATTTGAAGACAACCAAATTTTCCTCCAACAGCAACAGCAACAGCAACATGATGTTGATTTTCAGCTTCATCATTCACCTATAGTGATGAATAACAACAATAGTACTACTGATCATCAGGATCAGGCTTCGAAGAATTCGATAACCGACGCCAACAACAATATTGTTAATAGTCTTGCACCTGCAGAAGCTGTTTCTGGTAAAGGAAAAAGTGCAGTGGTTCAGCAGATCCAAAGGAAAAGATCTAGCAAGAGGGATCGACACAGCAAGATAAAGACGGCGAAAGGACTAAGGGATCGGAGAATGAGATTGTCGCTCGAAGTTGCAAAGAGGTTTTTCGGTCTTCAAGATATGTTAGGATTTGAGAAAGCAAGCAAAACTGTGGACTGGTTACTCAACCAATCAAAAGATGGAATCAATCAACTTGCAAGGGAAAAGAATATTCATTTTCCTAGTAAAAGTACATCTTCAACTTCTGAATGTGAAGGAGTTTCAAGCTTGGAATACAATGAAGTTGGAAATCAAGAACAACAAGAAAAAATGGTTATGAAGAAAAGAAGAAAAGGTACTAATAAGGTTTGTAGAAAGAGTGCATTCAATTCCACTGGTAGAGAAATGGCAAGAGAAAGAGCAAGAGAAAGGACAAAAGAAAAAATGGAAGCTAGAACTAGAACATCACTTGTAGCTGATGAATCAAATTCAAAGCAATGCAATGAAGGAAGAACAAAAACTAACCTCACTTGGAACCCCTTTGAAACTGTGGTAGAATCTGCAGGTACACAAACTGTGAATTATCATCCTTCTTTTGATCATGTGAAGCTGATTCATAATGAAGCAGAAGCAGCAGAAAGAACCTCTCAAAAAGCAAAGGAACATCATTCACATTCACATTCACATGAAGATAATTGTTTGTTCAATATGAGCAAATGGAGTCCAACAATGATGTTCAACTCTCTCAACAACTTTCAAGAAGTAAGTAGTTTCAATCATGCATCTATGTAGTAGTGAATGAAGCAAGTATTAAATAACATGAATATTTGTGATGTTTAGAACTCATTAAACATGAAATTGTTTGCAGCATCAATTTGAACAATATCATCAGTCCTTGGAAAAACCTTGGGATGGTTACAACAACCACTTCTAACGTGTACTTGCACCCATTATCATCATCCTCATCATCTCCTTTTTGTGTGTCAGGTTCAGAATAAAATGCATTTATTGTTGTGTATTTCCTTGCTTTCCTTTTGGAATGTAATGCGGTGAGGTATCTTCAGAAATTTGGAAACAAAATTTCATAAATATTGTTGTTGTGTATGTATCATCTGATCTCTATAAAGTGTTACCACTTTCTTGTTTGTTTCTGTTCTTCTTCTGACCCTTCATATTTATTTGGTGAAATTCATAAATTTCATGTTTATTTGTTAAAGAAAAATAACCTCCAATCTTGTGGATATGAATTAACCAATTAATTATAGCAGCTTTTACTTAACATTTTACCTTTGAAATGAAGATGAGGTGTTTATTTATGCTACTGCTATTGATGTCATATCCATTTAGTACAAAATAGTGTTCCTGATCCTACCTGACATATTTCCACATGCTGTAGTTTTTTTTCTTCTTCTATTAAATAATCTCTTCAAAAATGGTTAGGGTTACTTATATAAGATCATGAGTAGGTCTTTGTAATTGTTGCACCAAGGATATTATGATTTATAAACTCATGAATTCAGCTGGTGATTATTACCTAGTATTTGGAAAAAATAAATACAATTTCCTAGGGGAATAAAGATAAGATGGAAATAATCGAGTCGCATTATTCACCTTATAAATTGAGTATGACATGACAAGTTAGTTCATATAACGATTTAATACAAATATTATAAATTGAGTATTGACAGGACGAGTTAACTTATATATTGATTTAACAAGGTATCTGATGAACTTATTCATCATACCACCACATAAGTGCTACATCGAAAAAAGATAAACATGAAATAATAGTTTATAAATTTTCACATATCAAATTTGTAAGGAATAGTTATACCCAATAGAATCATAATATTGAATAATTCATATAAGGAAATGGTATTTATATTATGATGACACAACAATATTAGAGGAGGAATAATTAATTTAGGCTAGATCTTCTATTAAAGAGTGATAAAATAGTTTGAAGGTTTGGGGGAAGTAGAATCAGAGAGATAAGAACTTATGAATTCAACTCCCTATAATATGTGGATGTGGTAGATGTGGGATGTAGTTCAAATAATATATATTACTTGAGTTAAATGAGTGTTAAATCGTTGATTTATAGTTCAATCTATGACGACAAAATTTATTTATATTTATTTATTAATATAAAAAATTGTTGATATTTATAAATCAATAACTTTTATTAAAAAAAACTTCCCTTAATTAGTGATAAACTAATTAGTAATTTTTTCATTTTTCAAAAAGAAAAATGAGATCACCTCATCAACTATTAAATCTTGCTCACAGAGAAGTTGACTTTATGAAATTGATCAGTTAAATAGTATGGACATGTAAAAAAAAAAAAGTCTAAAAATGGACATAGTGAGATATAATGTATTTTATTAAAACTTATTAAAAAAAACTATAAGACTGTTCATATTAGACGTGCCCTAAGAAATTAGTATATATATGCGTTGAAATATTCATAAATAAAAGCTAAAAAGGCTTGATATATATGGATATTCATATATTAGTATAAAGATAAACACTTTTTATTTTTAATAAAATTATAATTTTATAATAATAAAAATGAAGAACAACTTTAATATTAAAATTCATTAAAAATAACAAGATTCACATATCGAATCTATATTAGAGACTCCAACCTATTGATAGTTTGTTTAAAACTTATTAAAATGTGTAATAGACGAACTTAGATATGTGTTATATTTGGTTGCATAATATCATTTAAATATCTGATTTTTTTTCCTATTTTTTTTGAAAGGAAAATAATAAAACTATCTTCTTTTCTATTTATAACACAAAATTTATTTTTTAATTTCATTGAATAATCAATGTATTTGATCAGATACATTGATTATTAAATGAATCTAAAAAATCAACTTTCTTTTATAAATAGGATCAGAGGAAGTATATAATTGAAAAGCAGGAACTAACAACTAAAGTACAAAGAACACTAGAAAAGAGGTATAAGGGGTACCACTACCGGGTAAAAAATAACACAACAGAAGAAAACAAACACTAAATCAGCCATAGAAAAATAAAGGAGACTATAACTAGCGCCAAAGATAGAGTCCAAACAAAATTAGATCTCTCCAAACCTAGGGCACCTGCAGAACAAGTCACAAAAGACACACAAGAACACGTTAAAGGGAGACCGCGACCACTCACCTCGATAAGAGTCCAAAAACAAGATAGGGTTCTCATGCTAGGCCGAGAAGGTACATGAGTTATCCACGGACCTACCAAGATACCATATCCAAGCCAAGACGATACTCATGTCTTCCACGTCTTTCGGAGTCACTGAAGAACCAGAAAAAACTATATCATTCCTAGATTTCCAAATCGACCAAACCACGACATGTCAAATCATCCTCAAACCCCTATAATCTTAGAAATACCACCCAAAGAAAGAAACATCTGGAAAAGAGTCAAGATGTCTTTAGACAAGACCACACACTACCCTAGCCACCTAAAAATCCAATAACAAATAGAAGATGCAACCTCACAGGACACAAAGAAATGAGATGACGACTCAACGAACAACGAACACAGAGGATAAAAAATAGTCTTAGAGGTCAATTGAACTCATCTATTAAGTAAGTTATCTCTGGTTGGGATGTGATCCTAAAGAAACTGTCAGGAGAAAACTTTAAATTTCAAGGGAGCCCGGGTACACCAAATGAACAGGGGGACTAATAACTCAGTAGGGGATATCAGACGATTAGGAGGGATCTGACGAGTCAAAAGATAGGAGTAAGTAGAAGACACAAAATAAGCACCATCGCTCAACTCACGCGACCTCCAGAATCATTCTCTGATGAAAGGGTAAAGTCTGTGATCACATACTAGACATCGCTAAAAAAAGCTAACTCATAGTCAAAGAGAAAAGATCTCCGCCACCTGAGATCTCAGATCTAACTTTCCCCTTTACATCTCCCGACCTCCCCCACAGATTTGGAATTCTGGTCAGAAGTAGAAACAAATCTAAGAAACTAAGACGAAGGAGACGTTGTTTGGAATGCTCCCCCAAATTTTTCATCAAAATTGTCTAAAAAAAGTTGGGGATAAATTGGCCACAATCAACTAAAATCGGTTATATATACTATTTTTTTTAGAATTGTATGTTTTGATATTTGATTATAATTGATTGTTGATACCATAATTTTCTAAAAGGCAATCTCAACCTCAACATATTACATGAATGCAAAACTTTATACAAAAAAGAACATCTAAAAATGTTAGTTGAAGTTTCTTTATAATATATATACATGAAGTTGTATTTTACAATAACTCAACAACCTTATTTTTAATGTTAGAAAGTGTTGAAATATCATATTACTCTTTTTATGACTTAATATACCCGAATTTATAATTGGAAATTGCAAGTTGATGTCTCCTATTGAAAAGAGACCCTACTAGATTTGAACGACATATACTCTACAATAAATGTATATCCAATGCTTGTAAAGGGACAATTCCAAAATATGTTGGGATGCTATAGACGTGTCTTCCAAGTCTATAACATAACATGGTCTATATAATGAGGAAAAAAATATAAACTATTTTGTGCTTATAATGTGTACAAGAAAAGATGCAGTTATAATAGAAGAAAAAGGAGGTAAATTGTTTATGCAGTGTTGAGAGGTAATGGAGTCTTTACTATGTCAGATGTAATGATAGCAAATAGTTGCAATGTACCTAATGTGAATGAGTCAATTCATCTTACTATACAACCGCACTTAACACTGTAACGGCTAAATTAATTTTGAATTATTAATGTTTATTATCTGAGATGAATAATTATGATGAATATAGGTAGCAATAGAAATAGGATATTCGACAATTTCATGCACGCGGTCAAAAGTGAAGAGTCAACAAAGGAAAAAGATAAGTAATACTAGATGGTTGGTTTGTATTGCAGGAGTATATGAGAAGAAGCAACAAAGAAAGAAAGATTGGAACGAATTGATACTGTATTTGTTCAGAGTATCAGCTGCCACTCTTTCTCGTGTGCTGTGGTGTGCTTATGTGTCTTTCTCCCAAAGGTAAAAACAACGAATCAATAAAGTTTCAATTATTACTATACTTCTCTTTCACATCACATGTTTTTATTTGTAGAACCTTTTTTAGTTCAATATAAAGATATTCTTCTTCATTTCAAAAATGCCTTTTTTATTAATTGTGATAATGTATTTTGAATTTTATTCTAACACCGATCTTAAATCTACTCATAAATGTTTCTATTATGTATTCGCTCGATTGAGCTTGTGATATATGAATGTTTGTTCTTTAACTTTTCAAAATGTAATATGTTAATCTTTTTTTCGTTTAATTAACTACAAAATTAATCGTCAATTTCTGAGTTTTTGGTCTTTGATTGAACGGAAATGTCTAATATAGTATATTTTAAAAAGTTAAGTGATTAATATAGATTTTTTTATATTAAGGGGCTAAATTGAATTAAAGTATTAAATACAAGAAAAAAAAAGATATTAAACCTAAAAAAATTAAGTAATATATATAAACTACTTTTAATCTTGATTTTTTTAAACAATGTAGGGTGTACGAGAATATATTTAAATTTTATGTTTAAATTATCGATATATGTGATTTGCAATTTTGTAAATATGACTCTCTGATTTTTTTTTAAATAATTTATAAAGAATTATAATTATTTTTTATAAAAAAATAATATATATTTATTTTTATGACAATGGAGATTTTTTTTTACTTTCGTACTCTAGTTAAATGGATCCTAATAATATAGAATTTATTGTCAGGAACCGAACTCGACATTTCCAGAGTGTTGTCTTTTGTAGAGACTCGTTTATCATTCAAATCCAAATTAAAAATAACATGAAATATAATATTGTATTAAATACAATAAAATTCATTTATAGAGAAGTATTATTAATTAGTTTTAATTTT